AAAATGTCAGTGAGAAAACAGTAACTGACGCTACATTGTTATTGTCAGTGGGATTGTGCACTCGCTGATCCAGCATTGTAAACTGTATCTATAATTCTGAGAACACTTTTGTTGTTTAAACATATTGCGCCACATTCATCTATACTCCAGGATAAAATAGTCTGTTTATATTTGGAAGTAAGCATCAATAATACTTTTCACCTCTAGTGTTAGTGTTTTTCTAGGCATTTTAGTTCTGTCCCATCTTGCATATGAGCCTCATTTGCATATCCAATGAGCCGCCATTTTTGAGTTCATATTCACAAGGCAATTCTCATAAGGCATGGCAGGGCCATCGCACCCATTATATGAGTCTCCTCATTCAGTAAGAAGTATCTAGTTCATGCCACCACTCCAGGGCTTGGAACTCTCTCCAGCTGATTATTTTCAGGAATAACGGCATTGCACAAGAGAGGTTTTCTTGCTCAAGAAGGGGTAGTGTAGATGCTCCTTCTGGCGCAAGAGCCTCTTCCGCAAAAATGGTGGCTCATTGGATATGCAAATGAGGCTCAGCAATATTCCACGCTTAGCCTCATTTGCATACTTCTGGCGCAAGATCGCGCCAGTGTAGACATAGCCCTAGAGTTTGATTTAGTGAGACTAAGACTTGCTCCCTCTGAGTTTGATTTAGCTCCCACTGCTGCTAGTACTACTGCTTCTGTGAGGAGTAAAGGAAGCTGGCAGGGGTTTTTCCTCCTGCCAGCCTCCCACTGTGGGGGCAGAAGGAAAACTTGAAACAAACTGATGATTCCAGCTATGTAAATACCATAGCTGGAGTTGCATATCTTGATCCAATGTTCTCTTTTACTATAGACCTATCCTTGGAAAGGGAGTTCTTCCTTCATCCTCTGCCAGTGGTTTTCAGACTTTTTAAATTCTGTGCCCTTTTCCAAATAATACAGTCTAACACAGCCCCCATCGAAGTGGGGTCATAATATGCCTGAGAATAGATTGCCAATTCTTGTCTGTCATTACAGGATTTTTATCACAACTCCCTTACAGGAGCACACATGCCTAAGTATGAAAATCATTGCTGGGCTGGAGTACTCGCTGGGCTAGCCCAAAGATAGGCAGTACAGGAGGGACTACCTGATGAACCTTGGTAGAGGAAAATGTTTAAAGAGAAACCCTTAGACTTATTTTAAAATAAGTGTGGGGTGGAGACATGTTTAGGTTTAAATCTTCCAACCCTTACTATTATATCCCCCAACAATATTGACTTTTCAATTTTGGCAGGTCAGGCACATCTATGTTTAGTATTTGAGAGCGGCATATGTTGGTAAAGCCCCCAGGATATCAATGGGAAACTTTGAGTTGTTAGTAAACAGTGCCTTGCTAAAATACAATGTATTTAGTCCTCTTTGGATTTTATCCTTTTCTTTGTTCTAGTTACTTTCTCTTCTTTTGTAAAATAGTGAAATTCACTCAGACATGAAGGTTAAAGTTTCTGAATAAATGGAAAACATTTGCTTTTAAAAATAGCTATTGGAAGCAATTTTATACATAAATTAGAACTAACTCTCCCAGGGCTTACTTGATTTGAAGCTGACAGCATGTTTAAACATATATCCATCTTCATAGCATTCATTTAGGATTCCATAGCTAATCTGATAAAGCAGTGATGAAATACAGCTCCTCTTGCTGTATTATGATGGTTAGATTCTTGGACATTAGCAGTTTTCTTATTTTGTTTCCAGTGCAAAAAAGCCATGCTAGAGTAAGTAGCATGGTAATGTCGTGTGATTGCAAAGACATTTTGCGAACTATATACTTAAGGTTTAAATTTTCTATTATATCTTTGAGATTGACTTGGCATGAGATGCACTTGAGCCTTTTATCTCTTGAAGATAAGGGAGGCAGCTCCTTTAGACATCTCATCATAGTCTAAGTGGGTAGCTAACAGGATGTTGATTTGAAACTCTTCAGTGGCTGGTCAGGTAGTTGAATGTAGAAATGTGATGGAAGGGACAAAGTACATAAATAATGAAAGAATACTATAACTTGCATTAGATATTTTGAAACCACATATTTTCCAGGAAATAATGTCAATAATCTTTCCTGATTCCTTCTATAAATGAACTGCTGGTCTCAGTGAATATTGAAAATGACTATCAAACTGCACAGTTTATTCAACACAGAAAGAATAGTATATGTATCCGGTAGGTATGATTGACTTTATTGGAAAATACTACTCTTCTGGAAACAAGACAGAAACAGACTTGTAGTGGCAGAATGGCAGCATGCTGTTTGCAAAATCCAGATTTCAGAACAAATATGTATTTCCGCAATATAGCATAGTGGTTCCAAAACAGTAGTCCACATATAATTTGCACATGATCTGTGAAACACTGTCAGGTCAAACAATGCTGGCTGTCTTCCTTTTCAAATAGTAAAGATTCATTACAGCTATAAATATTACAGATGCTTTAAAAATAGTAGGAAAGTAGTTGCTGCAGTTCCAGTGATGATATCCAGGAGGCTCTGCTTGCTGTTGTGAGTGGGAGAGTAGGTCTCCCAAAGACCATATGTGGGTCACACTTTGAAAAGGTTTGGTGTATATATTTGACAGAGGAGTGAACATATTTAAAAAAAAAAACAGTAAAGTGAAGTTCTACTCTGAAAGTAATTGTAGAAATGGAGTTTTTGCATTCCGCTTTTTTCAGTGGGGGTATGGCTATACTACAGAGTTTTGTCGGAAAAACGTATGTTTTTCTGACATCTTGAGGAACATCCACACTGCAATTGTGTTCTTCTGCAGTCAAAAGAACAGAGGGGTTTTTCTGGCATTGGTAATCATTCTTTGAAGAAAAAGCCTTTTTGCAAAAGAGCTTTTACAAAAAGGTGTATGTGGATGGGGAAGAGGGAGTTCTTTTGGAAGAAGAGGAAAAATCACAGGTGTCTTGGTGGCCATTCCATCCATAGCAATCACAGCTTACACGTGAGAGAGCATCAATTCAGTCTGGATGCTCTTTTGGAAACACTTTTTTGGAAGATCTCTTCCAAAAAAAGCTTCTTCCGAAAGAAGCCTATAGTCTAGACGTAGCCTAGGTCTCCACAAGTGTAGCTGGTAGGAACTTTGTAAATAATTCCGTTGAATAAGAACAAATAAAAAGTTTGAGTAGACTATTCAAAGAGCAGTGAAGACCTGTATCACTAACAGTATGGGACATTCAATGTACATTGGTCAAAAATCTGTTAAAATTGTGCTGATTTTTACATAGTAACACTTCAGAGTAGAACTGCAATTCAGAGGACCTTCATACCGAAAAATAATTAGATTGATATTATAAAGATAAATGTTTCTGAAAGATGTATGTTTTCAGCTCTTTGTAGAGTGATTCAATTAAATAAGTGTTAACACAACCAAACTATCATTCTGTATAAAAAAAAAAAATCACATTTTTATTCAGATTTCAATTCCTTGGTGCCTATAAGTTCAGACCTACCAGTTGGATCTTCCTGATCCAGCACTCTTGGGATATAACTGGTCCCAAACAAGGGAATTTGTTGGACAAGGGGAGGTCAGCGCCTGCCCCTTGCTCTGGCAGGGTTGCCGGCTGCTGGCCCTACTATCACTAGCCCAGCAGGACTCCTGGCTATTGGTCCCACCCAGCCTGCGGGAGGCCCTGCTGCTCCCCTGACCCAAGGCCAATTAGGGCCTGGGTAGGAGCTGCGTGAAGCTTCCTTCTCCCTACCCCTGCCCTGAGAGTAGCCCGTGGCACTTCAAAGTGCCATGCGCTCCTTGCAGGGTGGGAGGAGGCTCCCGGCCCCCAGGCCCTAATTGGCCTAGGAGTGGGGGAGCATGCCAAGCCTCTTCCAGGGCATGGGTGCTTAGTGGGAAGGGGGAAAAGGTGCTCCCCCAGACATGTCATGGTCTGGGGGTCATTTAGGCCCTGCCTGTGCCAGGGTGGCCTGGGGCCACTTCAAAAATTTACCCTTGGTAAAAATTATTGCCCACCCCTGTACTAGACACTGCCTCCCAGAGCCACTGGCCTTCCTACCTCTGGTTCAAGAGCATCCGTGATCCCATTGGGCCACAGATGTTGCTAGACAAGAGATTAACAGTTTTAGAAATTCAGCCTATGCTACCATTCCATTGTGCATAATATTTCAGAAGAAGGAGGTTTTGTAAATAAGACATTATTGTGACTAATGTAAGTGCATAAATAGTGAGTTTTAGGGCTTGTGTGTACACAAATTGCACTGATTTAACTAAAGTTGCAATATTAAAACCAGTGCAGCTTTGTCTGTGGACTTTGTGTATTTTATGCACATTGCTGCATTGGTTGAATACTGCAGGGCTATGTCTACACTGGCCCCTTTTCTGAAAGGGGCATGCTAATTTTAAACTTCAGAATAGGGAAATCCGCGGGGGATTTAAATATCCCCCGCGGGATTTAAATAAAGATGTCCGCCTCTTTTTTCCGGCTTGTAAAGTAGGAATAAGAGATCCTCCGGAATAGGGCTTTATTCCGGAGGATCAGGCCAGTCTAGACGCTTTTTACCGGCTTATCTACAAGCCGGAAAAAAGCGGCGGACATCTTTATTTAAATCCCGCGGGGGATATTTAAATCCCCCGCGGATCTCCCTATTCTGAAGTTTAAAATTAGCATGCCCCTTTCGGAAAAGGGGCCAGTGTAGACGTAGCCCAGCATTGATTAAACTGGTGCAACTTTTCTCAGAAAAAAAGTAACAAACGGGCCTTCTTTATAAATCTCAGAAGCAAAAATAGGCATGAAGTCCATTTGCAGGCTGCTTTATACCAACCCGAATGTATTTATGCCACATACTGACACTACAACACTACTAAAAGTGTACTAGTTGTTTTCATGAAGCTGACTTTATACAGTTATTACTAGCTCATCAAATTCAAGCTACATGTTATTTGCTTTACAGTCCATTTTGATGGTTCCTCTTTATCTTCATATTAAATATGTTGTGACATTATCCTGCTATTTCAGAGGCATTCTATAAGTGGACCAATATCAACCTCCAAACCTCTTGCACCTTTGTCAGATAAAAGATCAAGCTATGCAGAAATCCCTGTTCAAGGTATGTGTTCTGCTTCATTAGCTTTACTTAATGTAAAAATTGCAATACCATTGGCTAGTAACTGTATCTTTATTGGGTAGTTGTGCTTTCAACCCCTTTTCTTAATTGCGGGGGAAAAAATATAAATACCAAGTGTGACTTAGACCCACAAACACAAGGAACTTCAGATGCAGGCTGAAACACAAAATCTTGGTGCATTTCAGTATACATGTCTTATAAAAAATGCATTCATTTATGAGAGAGAAATTCTAATAAAATACACATTTTTTTCACATGTGTTGAGGATTGCTATCCGAAAGCAAATAATTCCTGTTACTTTTCTGAACATAGTGGTTGTCTGCACAGCTAATCTGTGCTTTAAAAAATTGCCACCAAAGCTTATTAATCATATTCCATAGATAATTTCAGTTTAAAGAGTTGATGGAATCCTGAGCAGTGGAATATTTTATTTATTACCCCTTATAAAAATCTTTGAAAGGACTCATTTTTTGTTTATATGGATTTCAGTAGTTTCCTGTTTGAGTGTTTTTAATTAAATATTGTTTTCTTAAAAATAAAATTAAAACATTCATAAATACAAATAGTCATAGTTCATTTACTCTTTATTAATTTAACATTAAAATAATTATTTTTCTATAAGCAGTGTGTAACAGCAAATTGGTTTGTGCAGAATGAACATATACTGACACTTGCTAGTTTTACATGTAACTTTTTCAAACCTAACTCATGACTATGTAGATCTTTTATGAGCCTTATGTACGCTATTATATGTAAATGAATTATATATTCTTTGCTAGGCTATTAATATGTAAGTAATGGTACTTTGACAGTGAGACAGAAAATGAATTAAGTTAACAAGTGTTGATATCTCCATTTCCTAATTGTTCCCTGTTCTGGTAACTTTGTTTTGTCTGTCAGATTCTGTTCACAATGTGCCCTTCCTCTAAGAATGAATTGTTTTCGTATGGTGGGTGTAGCTGTCTGATTTATGCCTCTTTGGGAGCATATTTTGTAGATGTTTTATCAAGATAATTCCCATATCATCATTCCAAGTACTATATTCCCCTGTAATGATGTCTGTATGTGACAGACTCCTTTCTACACTTGTGTAGAATGCATATTGGGGTTATTTGCTCAGTGAAGTGGGGGTTTTAATTTTAGAATACTATGTTTTTTTTAATTTAAAATGGAAATGCCTTACCAAGCAAATAATTTAGCATCTTAAATTATTGCAACAGAATGCATGAGTAGACATAAGCATTAGAAAGTATACATTCTCAAAGTAAGCCGAAAAGCTTGTTGCTTGTCAGCACCTGTTCAGAGTTGTTTTCTCTTGCAAGAGTTAATATATTAAGGTTAAGTGCTCAAAGGCAGCTGCATACATTATTTTGTGTTTAATATAATCAACTTTACCCGAGACAGTATTTTGAACAGTAGGCATGATAGGTAAGAAATCTGTTTACTTTTAAATGTATATATTATATTTACCTCTATGTATGGTGCTTGTCTATCAATATGTTCTGTTAATGAAGTACTTTTATTAACTATGTAGTGCAGCATACATTTTCAAACAGGTAACTTCTGCATATTTTAAAAAATATTGATTTAAAATTATTTTTAATCTAAAAGTTAGCTCAAATTGGTCTGAGTTTATACAAAATACTTTTTTTAAATTAATTTTTTAACTACAAATGGGCCGAACAAATCTTTCCTCATTTTAGCATTTGAAACAGTTCCTTATTATTCATGGAAAGAAAATGTTTTGTTACAATGATGGATTTGAATTTCATAGAGGTTGACAGCAATCTACTAGCATCTCCTACTGCCTGATTTATGGTGTATTTTTGGTGTGAGAGCAAAGAGGGAGTTTCTTGCCCAGCCTTTTGCTCACAAGTTTCATCACATGATTTTTATGGGAGTGGACAAACCTGTGTCCTCCTTCTCGGCAGACATAATCAGTTTTCTCTCATATTAAGTTAGGTGAACAGATTTTATAATTCATAAGTGTGAGCAGAGTGTCCCCACTGATCACATTCCTATAACTGAAATCTGCATTAGTGATGCATCTCTTTTTTTTTTTTTTTTTTTTTTTTTCATTTGTTGAGAACTTCCTCTACTAGCAGACCAGCCTCATTGCCAAGAGTACCTGCCATGGAAAGTGCCAAATCTATTTCCGGTAATGGTAGATATCTATATTAATCAGAAACCTTCTGTTGTCGGTGCTGTAGTTACATGCCCAGTATTCTGTTTTAAGGAGAAGTTCTGTCTTCCAGCTGAATCTGCAGTCACTTATCAATACATATATGCGAGTATCACATTTGTTTGGAATTGTTTACTTTTAAATATCTAATCTTGTCTATATACTTAAAGAAAAACTGTAAAAGCTCGTGATAAAACGTATTCGATCATATAGAACTGGGCAGCTTAACTCTTTGGAACAGTTTATTCCTACGACGTATTGCAAATGTATGTATCTACTAGAACCAAGATTCACACATGACTTCTCTTCAGCCATCCAGGAAATGACTATTCCTCTATTGCATTTCTTCCTAATGTTGCACAGAATTTTGATTTGCAATGTACACAGAATTATTTGTATTTTTGATACAGGTTTTTAAAGTGATAACACAATGGCAGACTCCTGTCTTATCTAGTTTATTTAATACAATAATTTAATGTCTTTCATTATTCTTTCAGTTATATAGGCCTTCTACTGCAAAGAATTCCATCTAGCTTATATGTTTTAAATATGAGACTGCTGGATTTTGTGGGACATACCATGATACATTAATAAATAAAATGGTTACTATAAAGTATTTAAACATACTCTTTAAGATGCCACTTGACAATTTTTGCTAACCACCAGGGAAAGCGAATACAAGTCATGCTAATTTGAAATTAATAAATCCATGGGTTTTTTTTAAAGACCTTTATTGAGCCTAAGTACAATATGAAACCATATAACTCTTTAATTCCAATGGATGCTTTTAAACAAACCTTCCCATGCAATATGTTATAGCACTGCAAACCTGAAAGTACTTCTGAATACAATCAAAAAGTGGATCTGCATATGTTTTTACCACCCAAATTTAGAGAATTTTTAAAAAGCAAATAAATAGTAAATTTTGTTTTTTAAGGTTTTCATTCCTAGTGACATAGGTAAGAATTTGCATTTTAAAACCGGATTTTCAGATGTGCATTTTAAACATTCAAGAATGGTATTTTATACCTTTTTTTATTTTATGGTCTTCTTAATTTACTATGTAAGGTATTTATATGTTAGCTTGGTCCCTGAAAGCAAAAGAAATTAAATCAATCTAGAAGTATTTGGAACATTTTGTATTTGTCTTACACAAATGCAATCAGTAGCTTGCTTTCAGGATTTGAAAGCAAAACAGCTTACCTATTTTTATTTAACTAGAAACTATTCTGTATAGAAGAAGAACATGCTAATACACAGTAGGAATGTGAAGGTTTCACCAGTAAACCTCCTCCTTAATGGGTGAGGTTTACTGATCAAGGTTAACCAGTTGGGGCTGGACAGGGCTGCTCTGTCCAGGATGCCTTTCCTAAACCCTTTTCAGTAAGGGTGAAATATCAGGAATTAAATAATATAGGCTTGCATATTTCTTGCTTTATATGATTTATTTGTTTCTAGAGCTTTTGAATTTTCCCTCATTTAGTGTCTAGACGAAGTAATGAAGAAATCAAACGGGATATTAGTGCACCAGATGGAGCATCTCCAGCCTCTCTCATGGCAATGGGAACCACCTCACCACAGCTCTCTCTCTCCTCTTCTCCTACAGCATCTGTTACCCCTACAACACGAAGTCGAATAAGGTACAATCCATTATTACATAGTATGGTTTTTAAACCAATATTAACTTCACAGCTGTGAAATACTATACTATGCAAGTATATAGTTTGTTCTATCATTAAACACCAATATTTGACAGACATACTTTTAGTCATGCTCTTCAGGAATCTCTGGAACTTTGCATACACTCTTTGTAGCACCATAAAGTATACTGTCTTGGGTAGGCAGATTTCAGGTTACTTATGGCTTAATAGGTTAATACCAACACTTTAAACTTAACTAGGAAACCAACAGACAAGTTTGTAATGAGAAACTACATTTAATAATTGAGCTGTAACATTCTGAACCAGCCTCAGTTTTGAATTAATTTAAGCACTAGCTTCACACAGAGCCTGTGCCAAAGGTATAATTCATCCTGATGCTGATATTCTGATGTTAGAAAGAATAGCACTCTTCTTTTATATGGGATATCGTAGGGGAAAATATTCTTCACTTTTGTCGTGCCTTCTATATAAGGACTCAGAATATTTTATAAATACGAAGTCGTATTACACATGTGTGAGCTAAGTACATTTCACAGGTTGGGAAACTGGTCCACAGAGGCTAAATGTCTTTCTCAAGAACACCTGACAGTAATTTATGCAAAATATATAAAATAAAAGGATTTAAAAGAGTAGACAATTAGCTGTCTTAAGAGCCAGTTCCCCCCAGCACCATCTCCGCAGTGTGGGAGTGGAGTCTGGGATGAAGAGGTGCAGTTGTTCTGCCTTTTAAATGTAGTAAGAGCTGCCTGGATCCTGGAACTACCACCGCTTCAGCTCTGTAGTTTAAATGTAGTAGGAGCCGGGATGCCTATACGCCTGGCTCCTACTGCATTTAAACTGCAGAGCTGCAGTGGCCCCTTATCAACTAATCATGTACACAGTCACTTACTCGCTACTTAACATACTCTCTATATATGTATAAATAAAAATGTAGATTCATGGAACCATCTAGACATTTAATAATTGCTTTGTGACATTAAGAAATGGTTTGGAGATCTGGATAATGTCCAGAGCAGTGTCTTCAGAGATTACTTGAGGCATACTTTTGTATTCTACCAGGTACTCATTGTTTGATGTTCTATATCTGTGTACTTGCCCATTTAATTAACAGGTAATTTACAAATTACACTAAAGAAACAGTCAGTTTACTGGCATTTGCACATTTAGATTTTGAGTAAAAATGTATAAAAATGCTAGTGACAAATCTTAAACTTCAAAGATTTACATCTGCACTGTTTGCAGATCAAAGATTTCAATGAAAGCATGTAGTTATGAACAAGGAATATTTGGAGGCCATCACAGTACTTCACACTTGCACAGAGCAGTTGTGCTAGGGTGCTAAGCCCACTAAGAAGAAAGCCTGCTCCTGTTAGAGCAGTGGAGGACAAATATAATTGTCCATGGGTATTGTCTTTGGAAGGGAACTACTCTTGGTTTTAATACATTGTGTAGCTTGCAAAATGTTGTTGTAGGATGTAAAATAAGGATTTATTTAAGAAAACAAATCTTTGAAAATATACATGAACTGTGGGCATACCTATGTCTCCCAACTTGAAACCATAAATCACTTCTTTGATTTGGAACATAGTTGGCCTAAGATACTCATTTTAAGATTTATATCTATCTCAAACCATTTCTCATTGTCTCCTTACAATACATTTTAATTTGTTTCCTTCCGCACTGTTTTCATAATAGTAAGAACCTGATATAAACCATGTGCCTTACTGGAATTTGGGACCAGGCCGTCCAGTTCCTTCACAGCTACCCAGCATGTTTAATAGGAAAAAGACCATTTTGAATCAGTTTTCTTATATCTGTAGTGAGTTATCTCTATTCTTAAAATATAGAGTGGCACTACTTAATCTTTATTCTAGTGTGAAAACACAAATTCCAAATTAAAGCTAGAATCTAGGTTGCTAACGCATGTGCTGATCTAGATATAAGAGTAAAGTTAAATCCTTAAGGCCCCAGTCTAGCAGTATAGTGATCTAAATCTAGGGCTGGGAGAGACCTTGAAGTAAAACCTAGTCCCCTGCTTCCTCTGAGACAGGACCAAATAAACCTAGACTCTCTGCTTGTTCATAAAGACCTCCAGTAATGGTGATTCCATAGTCTCCCCTGAAAACCTATTCCAGAGCTTAATTACTCTGCTATTTAGAAAGATTTTCCTAACATCTGACCTGAATCTCCTTTGCTGTAGAGCAAGTTCTTTACTACTTATCTCACTTCCAGTGGACATAGAAAACTACTGATCACCCCTCAACATATTTGAAGACTATTAGTGGGTCCCACCTCACTCCGTTTCTCTCAACACTCAACAACCCCAATTGTTTAACCATACCTCATAAGTCCAGTTTTCTAGACCTTTTACATTTTTGTTGCTCTCCTCTGGACTCCTTCAGTATGTCCACATCTTTCCTAAAGTATGACTCCCAGAATTAGACATAGTACTCTCACTAGGCCTCATCAGTGAAGAAGAGAATGAGGCAATTACTTCCTATTTCTTATACTCAACACTTCTGTTTAAAAAAAAAAAAGCATCAATAGCATGTATTTTTTCTTTTCAACTGGCACATTGCAGACTTGTATTCAATTTGTGATCCATTATAACACCCAGTATTACCATCCAGCCAATATTCCCCATCTTGTATTTGGGCATTGCATATTTCCTTCCTTAGTGAAGTACTTTACACTATCTTTGAGTTTCATCTTGCTGATTTCAGACCAATCCTCCAATTGGTCCAGGTGGCTTTGCATTCTAATCCTGTCCTTTAAAGTGCCTGCAGCTCCACCCCGCTTAATGTCATTTACAAGTTTTATAAGCATATTTTTCACTCTTATCCAAGTCATTAGTGAAAATATCGAATAGTACCAGACTGAGGATTGATCTCAGTAACACTCCACTAGATACATCATCCTTATTTGACAGTGAAGCATTGATAATTGGTCTTTTGAGTATGGTCCTTCAGCCAGTTGAACATGCATTTTACAGAAATTCAACTAGACCACATTTCCCTAGTTTGGTGCCTATCAAATTAAACATGATCCAGTAATTTGATTCTGTGATTCTGTTTTAGTTCTAAAATAAATGCCGTGTATGTAAGAGAACTGATTTCTTTAGTATAACTCTCCATGAAATTGGCATTTATGTCTAAATATAAATATTTTCCTGTTTAGCAGAAGTAGCTAGCTAACGCATTTCAAGACACAGTTCACTTTTCAAGGAGCCACTTTACCTTGAATAGTCATAGAATCATAGGGCTGGAAGAGACCTCAGGAGGTCACCAAGTCCAACCCCCTGCCCAAAGCAGGACCAATCCCAATTCAAGCATCCCAGCCAGGGCTTTGTCAAGCCAAGACTTAAACCTCTAGGGATGGAGATTCCACCTCTCCTAGGTAACCCATTCCAGTACTTCACCACTCTCCTGATGAAATAGTTTTTCCTAATATCCAATCTAGACCTCTCCCACTGTAATTTGAGCCCATTGCTCCTTGTTCTGCTATCTGCCTCCACTGAGAACAGCCTCTCTCCATCCTCTTTGGAACATCCCTTCAGGAAGTTGAAGTCTGCTGTCAAATCCCCCCTCACTCGTCTCTTTTGTAGACTAAATAAGCCCAAATCCCTTAGCCTCTGGTCTTAGTCCCTTGAAATATGTTGACTACTTATGCTAAACAGTCTGTTCCATCTTGTCTTAAGCTGTGACAGAGCATCTTTTCCAGATCTGAAGAAAAGCTCTGTGTAAGTTTGAAAGATTGTTTCCTCACCAACAGAAGTTGGTCCAATGTATTATCTCGCTTAAATACCGATGTCTGTCACTTAAGTTGCCCATTTCTGAACAAATTTGCAATTTTACCATTGGAACTATTATAAGAAACTCTGATTTTTCTTAAATATTTAATTTGACCCTGGAACATTATCTTGTTTCATCCAAAGACCATTCATTAAGCACATTAACAAGTACATGGCATTTGAAATGAATTTAAACTGTCATGTAGAAAATAGTCCTTTTTATAGTGAGATATCAATGCACATGTGAAGCTCTGTGAAATTCATATTTCAATACTTTTTTTTTCTTCAGCAAAGCTTGTGAAATTGATGGATTTCAGAACTTGCCTACTCTGAAGTGCTATACGCTTCTGTAGCTGTTTGTGTAGGTACTGTCTGTACTGACTAGAGGACTTCTCCCGTCATAGTTGTTAATCCACTTACCTAAGAGGAGGAAGCTAGTTCGATGAAAGAATTTGTCTGCCTACCTCATGTTATCTACACCAGGCCAATACAGGTTGCACCTCCCAAAAGTGACAGTCTCTGGTCCCAGCAGTATCTACTATGGCAGGACCACAAAGGTTCCTGGATCCGAGAGTCCCGGTAGCCGGGAGGGGCTGAGCCAAAGGAGCAGAGTTGAGCCAAAGCTTGTGCCAGTCCCTTGGCAGCCTACAGCAGCAGGACAAAGACAGGGGCTGGAGCTCGTGGCAGCCCCCAACAATAAT